AATGTATACTTTAGAACTTTTTTTCTGAGCCAGTTAGTGCTTCAACAAAGCCACATCTTTGCAGAGCCAACAAAATTATCTCATTATACTTTAGTCAGCTGATGTGCTGGGTTGCAATCTAAGTAACCTGTAGATGCTTTGCAAAAATGTTTTCAGTTCTGTCTGAAAGTACCTTAAATTTCTGTGCATCATCTTAGTGACATAGAAAGGGATAGATATGTCCTACTAGAAAGATCACTGGAAATTGATTAAGAGGACCACCAAGTATTGTCCTACTATACGAAGTGGTGTTTCCCTCTGGTTGGAAAATATCCTAAACTGTCCCAAATCCTGTCATGAGGCAAAGGTAGTTTTAATATACCATCTGTGTCCTCAACTTTCCCCTACCTCAAAATTTTGGACAACCAGGATAACCTATACATTATTATACCACTATGGATGGTTGGGGACACAGTGCTTTAGCTTTACACATATAAAATCAAGTAAATAGCCTTAATGTAATTAGAGGTATTCCTTTAATATGTTATATGATCTGGTTCTGTGAAATTTCCTCCAATACTTGATTAGATTCTTTATGCTAAAAATATAGATGCTGAAGAGAACTTTCAGAAATGAAGGGATCAAGAATATGACCATTCTTTAACAAGTTTTCCAGTGATCATTCACACATTGCTTCAGCTTGGTTCTCCATTCTTGGTTCTCCATCACAACCTGCCCCAGATGCCTTCATATGAACGTATCACCACAGCAGCAAGACTGGCCAGTCACTTGCTCATCTCTCAATCAACTGCAGAGAAATTGGGCTTCCCTGTATAAAAGCCCCTGGTGAAGATTGAGGACCAAAGTGTCTCAGCTTTCTGGAAGGATTTGCTGCTGTGGGAGACCAACACAGGAATCAGAAAAAGATGTTAGCATTAACAAGGATTGTCAGTGGACAAGAATTGTGACACTGAGATCTCTGGTTCACCTGCTGTAGTATTTTGTGATAGTTCCTTGTATTTTAAAAGGTCCCTTGTTCAGCCTTTTTAGAGTGTTTCAACCATTGAATAAAATTACTGTTTACTCCAGGGATGCACAATTCAAATCCCTCGGAGGACTACTTTTATATTTTTACTAACTGAGTTGCTGCATTGACCATGAAAAGCTTCTCCATTATTTACTGTCTTATTTTTAGCCCATTTGCAAAGCTCTTTCCCTGCTCTAGAGAGCACTCTCTACTTTTTTCTATTACTGCAGGTTGCATTGAATCCCAGTCTTTGTTCAACCTTTGTACAACATAGATGAGTTTTTGTGCCCTCCAGATCACACATGGTGTTGTCTTCCTCTGCACACCACAGGTTTGTACGCTTATCTACCAGTAACCCCCTTTTTGCTAATTCACCCAGAGGTTCCTCTGTAATGTCATGCCCATCTCTTTTTCTCTGTACCCCATAGTGTTATTTCTTATTTCTCAGTGCCCCAACGGCCCATCTTTCACCCTCCTCAGTTTTCCACCCCTACAGAGCTGTTAACCTGCTCTTCCTCTCAAACCAGCCTCCCTCCAACCAGTTTTCCTGTGTATGTCCCCAAGGTCTTGTTCACACAGGAACCGGATTCAGATTGGGACTGAGGCAAGCAGGGGCGGGGAGCCCCTTCCCCCAGTACCTTTTCCTCAGCCTGCAACAGCCGCTCTTTGCCCTACTGAGGAAACTCAACATGTACTGATTTTCTACATGTGAAAGTTCCTCTGTGGCTCACATAGTGGCTCTGAGGCCATTTCAGAGCCCACCTGGGCCTTAAGCCCTCTCCTTGTGTGCATCATAGCCCCAGTCCCAATTGGGTTTATGTACCTGGGAAGTGCAGAACTTCCCCAAACATTTGTTGAGTAGATTCAGTGTCATACCTAGGGAAAATGTATTCTATAATTAGGTCCTCATGTCTTCACTGCTTATCCACCACTTTATCTCTGCACCTTGTTTATGCTCTGTACCCCATAGTAATCTTTCCTTATTATTCCCACATGCCTTTCTGAACCATCATCTTTAATTTTGCCTTATTCTCCATTCAGTTTACTTTTTCCTATTTCCCAATTTCTACTTCTCCTTCATGAATTTGACAGAAACAGGCACACAAATGTTTCAGAGATTGCAGTGGGGACATTAGCATAAAGCATTGTTCACATGATATGTCTGAACGAGTGTGGGGTATTGGTTAAAGAAGAAGAGAAGAGATTGGATTTATACCCCGCCCTTCACTTGGGAGTCTCAGAGCGGCTTACAAACTCCTTTCCCTTCCTCTCCCCACAACAGACACCCTGTGAGGTGGGTGGGGCTGAGAGAACTCTGACGCAAACTGCTCTTTTTCAAGGGCAGCTGTGCCAGAGCTTGTGACTGACCCAAGGTCACATCAGCAGGTGCAAGTGGAGGAGTGGGGAATCAAACCCGGTTCTCCCAGATTAGAGTCCGCATACTTAACCACTACACCAAACTGGCTCTGGGAGACGCAGGTTCAAATTGCACTCTGCTATGGAAGCTTACTGAGTGACCTTGGGCCAATGACTCACTCTCAGTCTAACCTACCACCTCACAGGGTAGTTGTGAGGATAAAATGGAGGTGAGACTGATGTAAGCTGCTTTGGGTCACTAGTGGGAGGAAAGGTGGGGTAGAAATAAAATAAATAAAACAATGCCAAAATTATGGGGTGATAAGAGAGTGCCCAGCTCAGACACATCAAATTGTAACACATTCTGAAAATGTCAGAAGTGTAGGAACATATTGGCATTCAGAAGAGTGTAGCTAGGTAGGGAAATGTTATTTAAAAATTCAGTTAAGTGGTAAAAAGTTTTTTTACTCCAGTGGCAGCTTCTCCAAGTTGCATATGAGCCTGAAGTCCAAATACAATGGTCCATGGAAAACCAACAATAATGAATGACAGATTCATGTGCCATTAAAATTCCCAGCACTATAAATCCAGGTGGGCTCTTATCCTCTTCTGGCTTCTCAGGAAACATGACACTGAAAAGATTAATTGAGGCAGTGTAGAAAATGACATGACAAAGTGCATATTGACTCCTGCAACACTTTATTGCATTCTACATTTTTTTTTAAATAACATGGACACAAAATATGGGTTGGATGGCAAAATACCACAATGTGTTTCAGTAACCACCCCAACCTGCCAGCAAGGATGACCAGCATGCAGCCTGGCAACAGATATGCCCAGAGTTCACACCCAGAGAGATTGGTGGGGAGGAAGTCAAAGGAGGAGTAAAAATAATGATTTGCCAGCAAATGAGGCAATTTCCAAGCAAACAGTACTAGAACCAGCTATGTTAAAAAATAATTCTAGTGATACTGAATCAACAGGGTTGGAGTAAAACACTAGGATGAGAACAAGGATTGAATTCCAGAAGTCAATGATTCATATAACAAAAGAAGGAAAAGAAATCAAGATTAATACAAGCCTGTCAGCAAGTCAGGCTTAAAAATACTAATGAATAGTATTTCCCCCCCCCCAATAGAGTAGCTGGACTTCTTGCCCAACATGTTCACAGTGAACACATACTTTGAAGAACTTTGGAGGGTATATAAATTGCACTTGGAAGAATTCAACGGGGCTTACTTCTGAGTAAACATGTGTTCCAGAAAGACTGCACTCAAGATTAAAAATGGTCCCCAGTTCATTGGTAGCCCACATAAATACCATTTTTCTCTTGTCAAAAAACCAAATTTATACATTGGCATTTCCTTCCAGATTTTATTAAATATCAGCAGATAGTTTGCATTCCATCCAAGATGAAACAATAGCCCATTCATTTTGTAACATTAATTCACTCCAATTGATAGTGCTCAGATGAAACCAGTTGACATCTTGTAAATCTGGATCTTCCACAATACCGATGGGTTTTGTACTTGTTTATTTAAAAAGCACTTTTGTTCTGATTATAAGCATTCTGTGCTTCAGAACTTTACATTGATTGAAAAAGAAAATAATAAAGTTGGTTTTTCCTTGTAATAAGTGGTAGAGCTAATATTTAGTTGTGTCTTGCTTATGAGAAATTATGCCCTTTCAGCAGTGTCTTCAGAAAGGCACTTATGGGGGGGGGGGGGACTTTGGTTATATAGCTGTATTAAAACTTGAATTCAAATCTAGATCAATTATCAGTTTGAATGTCAAATGACAGCCCCAGCAATTACAAATTTTTCTAGAACTATGAATATCAGTACTTTCCATGTGTTGTGTCCTAAATGCTGTGCAGTTGCAGATACCTATCACTTGCTGGACTGGGAAATGGTATAAATTACATGCACATTTGCATGCTCATCTGACTAACAATGAAGTCTTCCTGCCCTTCGTTTGGATGCATATAATGATTTGTACACCTAACCACGGAATAATATTTCATTTCCATTTGAGCAGAGCTCAGTCAGGGCTGGTGCACAGCTGCATCTGAATGGTGGGTACCCCCATGTCTATAGCTATAGGATTAAGCTGTTGCTTCATTGCTTTCTCTGAATTTACAATATGAAACAAAGTGCCTAGTTACTATTGCTGTATGTACAGCTATTCCAGTTTCCCTCTCACACCTTCAGTTCCAGTCTCTCAAGGATACCTTCCTGTGCAGAGGGTCAATGAAGAGAACCTTTGATTTTCAGGTTCTTGAAAAACAAGCAAGCAAACACTTTCTTTGTTAATCCACACCAATTTCTACCTAGTGTCTGCGTATGGATTTATAGGAAGGGCTTCTAAAAAATTTCAAAACTCTTTAAAATTCTGTAAAATAATCATCTGGAAGATACCATTTTGCATAAATATAACCCAACAAAATATTCAGTTAATAGTACTGCACCAATAGATCCCTGAAACATTCTTCCTGTTTTTTCAAGTTTTGAGATAGTTCTGAACTTCAGTAGGAAATGAAGATTTTTATAAAAAATGAGAAAATGGATACTACAAAAATACTCCATCATAGATCTCCTGGAGTCCCTGACAAGCCACGAGCAGGTAAGGGAGTCAAACCTGAAGTCTTTCTTTCTCAATTTTGATTTGTTCCTAAATTAATTCAGGAATACAGGTTCACAGATGACAGGGAGGAGAAAATGCTCACCACCATAATCTTATGAGAAGATCACACCCAGGTTGTTTTGTCACATGTATTACGTAATGGGAACCTATCACAAATCATGGTTTACCAACATGTAGAAAATGCAGAAGAGTCACGTCTGTGATATTCACAAATGTGCATAAACACTGACCTGTTTTTCTACACCTATACAAGAGGAATGGCATGTGTGAAGCAAACTTGATTGTGATCCTCAATGTCTACATCATGAATACCTTTAAAAAGTCTCTTAGCTGACTAACAGTGCTGACAGGCAGTGAGATTCTGGGGAGCATTTCAGACTGTCACAGGAGGGGTGGGGAGAATATTGCATTATACGAGTAGAAATCCTTCCACCTGTGGAAAAACTCTGGGGGGATCTGAGCCAACATTTTTATATTAAACACTTCAATCTGCTTGCAACCAACATTTTCCTTAAATAAATAAGTTATATCTTAAATCCTTTAAACATCCTACCATACTCTGTCAGATATGTTCTACTAATGGTGGTGATTTTTCTCTGGTATAAGAAGCCTTCCACCAATCCAAGAGGCTCTTCTGTCAGTGGAAAGTGCCTTGCAAGAGAGGAAAGCACCATTGATAGAATGGAGCTGTAGAATCCAACCATCAGAAGCTAAAGGAAGGTTCACTCGATTATAGTTAGGGTGAGAGTGATCTTGAAAAGTCTAGCCTGAGTCAGGCAAAACTGTAGATCGCAGAAGTGGATGAATTACATGGATGGTAGTTGTGACCACCACTGATTTTTTTCAATTCTTTCAATTCTAACAAGACACTTTTGTTCTATACATGGCGAGGCAAACTGAAATTCCTGCTGGTACAATGTGCCCCCACCACTCGGCCCTGGGCATTCCACAAAAAACATCACACATCCTTAAAGGGCATGAATGGAGACACTTTTTGGGAGAACATTGAGCATATTTTTCATATTTGGGAATCTGGATACAGAAAAATAACTGCTAAATTTTGGTAATTTACACTTCTCTAATATAAGTGAAATTAACTGACTCCTGTGTCTTATCTATGGAAGTCCAAGTGAGCAAATTATTTCTTCCTAAAATGCAATAAAAGCTTTCTAAGGTCATATGGTTACATATTACTCTTCAAGGGAAATTTTGAGAGAAAATAAGCACATGAACACTTGAAGCTGCATTATATCAGACCACTGGTCTGTCAAGGTTGGTATTGTCTACTCAGAATACTAGCAGCTCCCCAGGGTCTCAGGTCGAGGTCTTTCACATCCTCTACTGCCTTACTCTTTAACTAGCAAGGCCAAGCATTGGATCCAGAACCTTCTGCATGAAAAGCAGTGTTCTATCACTGAGCATGGCCCTTCCCCCAAGTCACTCCATGATAGCTGGAAAATTCAAACCCCAAAGACAGGCAACAAGATAACCCTCTTTTGTGAAACAAATGACTCCCATTAAATATATTGCTTTTTATATCCTGCACTGTTGTCTACCTGAAATATTCTCAACAGAATATGATTAAGGCTGGGCCCTCCTAAAATACTAGTCTTGTTCACTGGCTCCATGTCCGTGGAAGCAATGTGCTTGTCCTTGAATGACGCATATAATAACAGACATATCATCTTTAGCAGCATAAAAAATTAACAGCGGGAAATGAATTGGCTGAAGAAAATATTGGTTAGTATGTAAGAGAAAAATTGCCAGAGTCTATTAGCATTCCTGGAAAGCTACAGCACATGGAGGAACTTATATGCACAGTGAAGAACAAAGAAGGTGCTCTGACACAACACTGCTGTAGATATCAATGAAGAGAATGTGTTTATAAACCAAGTGTTTACATTACATGTTCTGATGGAAACACTGTTGCTAAGCATAAACCAATTTTTACCAGCAAGAACAGAAAATTTACAAAGTGAAGGGATTTTTTTTTTAGTGACTTTAGTTCAGGATGATTACATAACGTGATCCACCAGCTGAACTCAATCAAACCAGCCAGGTACGGGGGCCCATTAAGGATTCAATGAACCTCCTGGTTTTGTGGCTTTCCTGCCATAGCTGAGAACTGGCAAATAGCTTGCAGACCACAATACATGAGTAGCTCACAGAGTTCAGTTGAGTAGCTCACAGATTCTTCATGCCTGCTCTAGAATAGGAAAATCAGTGCTCAATCATTACTAATCCAGTTTGTGTCCACATCACATGGCTCAAATACAGGAGATGGGGGGAAACTTAAGCTGTTGGGACCAAGGCTATTTTTTGCTCTGATTATACACAAAATAATAAAAGTACACAAACATCTGGCCAGCAGTGTGAATGCGACTTGGTAGCATGGAAGCTAAGAGCCCTGTTTTGATACATCTTCACAGTGCATCTGCCTGAAAGGTAATGCTTTATGATTCTGTGTAGGAATAGCAACTGGCATATCCCATCTGAAAACCGTTTTTGCTGCCCCAACCAATCTAAGAATTGGGCTGCAATAGTAAACACATGTTCTCATAGATTCAAAAACAACCGTGATTAGGTTTAAGATCCAACAGTACAATCCCTAGCCCCATTAGTGCTGATGAGAAATTTAATCACAGCTTGATTTAAGATTGCATCCCATGACATTTAATTGGGTAAAGTCATCTGCCATGCATTTGCCAGTCTAACAAACATGAAACTGGATTCTCAGAGTTCCACTTCTGTCATTCAATGCGTGGCTGGTGGAAGATCAGTTTTTGTTTTTTTGTAGGATTTCTTGGCATTAACACATGTAGTTTGTCATCAACTTTTTTGAAAGTTTAAAAATTTGGATGGGAACTGGAGGGACTAGTTGCTTTATGAAACAAAGTTGTTGGTTTTTTTAAAAAAAAGGATACACAGACCCATCTGATTTTAGAAAAAGGATGTTTTTCACAAAATAGTAAACAGCTGTACAACTGCCTTGTGCCCCTATCCTGGGGCTCTGAAAGGCCAAGCAATGGAACCGCTGCTGCTGCTTGACTCCAACAATGTGGATCAAATCCAGGCAGTTTTATGGCAAGTGGGAGGCTTATCCTTTTTAGAAATTAATGATACAAGACAGTTAAGCCAATAGTCTGTTTAGCGAAGTGACCAGGCAACCCATCAAAGGCCCCATGTTGAGCATAACAAAATTGGTTCTCGGCAAACACACAGTTCAATATTCTCCATTCCTGCATGCCATCTGCAGCCTGCCACCGAAGTTCTTTTATAAAGCTCCTTCCCATTGAACCAGAATATTTAAATAAAGTGCAAATATAAGAGTTAGGTTTCCACAACTATTTTGAATGTTTAATATCTTTTAATACCAGTAAGGCTAAAGGCCAGTTGGTCAACATTAGCAGGAGGGCTTGGTGATCTTCTTCACTTTCTAAAATCTGTAGTGGCATTCTTCTGTGAAAGCCGAGTAAAAAAATGGGTGCTTTTATGCCAGATGAGTATGATAGGAAACTTCCATGAGTACCATAAGTATAATATGCAAACAATAAACAGTGCTCAAAATAGTGCATATCTGCAGGTAAGAAGAGTGTCCAGTAATCACCAGAAACAGATCATGTCATCTTTGGATCTTATTGCTTGCAAAGAGTCCCAAAAATATCACTACAAAGGAATTGAACTGGGAAATCGCTGCTCAGTCTTAATTGAGAACTGCTTCTGTCTTCCCTGCATCTATAAGGGTGGAGAAAGAGAGGATACAGTTAAAGGGCAGATCTATGCAACACAAACAAGACCAAACATTCTATACCTCCTTGGATAAAGTTCTTTCTCCTTGAGAAAGTTCCGGCATCTTGGATGTTAATATGAGCTTTGCTTTTTATTTCAAGGAGAGCATCATTCTCACAGAGAAAGAGTGGGCTACTGGATTTTTTTTAGTGGACTAGGAAATATGATTTTATTATTTATGTGTATTATGACAAAGTATCAAGAATTGTTAATGTGGTTCAAGTACACCCCCAAAATTTAATTTCATCCATCTATTGCTGATTTAAACTGGAAAAAATGTGCAACCAAACCCAGTCTTGACTTTTACTTCAGCAGCTCATTAGGGACATTGCTTCAATCTCTGAAGTGAGTAGACCAGTATGATATATTGATTAGGGCTTGGATCAGGACTGAGAAGACCTAGGTAAACCTTCCCACTTAGCTATGCAGTTAGATGATGCTGAGCTTCTCTCTCTTTCTCTCTCTCTCAGCCTAACCTATCTCATGAGGTTGTTGTGAGGACAATAATGTGCTAGAGAGTTAAACAGAAGTACTAAATCTGCAACAGGAGTGAAACTAGAACAATTTCATCCCAAACTATTAATTATAAGCAACAGGTGGCAACCACTTCCCTCTGGTAAGATGTCATCAAAGAAGACAAACAATGTGATATTGGTGAGCACAGAATTTCCCTGCACCAACCTCTGCTTCACTGGCTACTGCTTGCAGGGTACAGGGGTGTTCTACATATGGGTCTCTTCTGTTCCCCGAAGGCTTGCTGTACACTGAACACTGTACACTGTATGAGAAAAATTATACTAAATCCAACAATATTCTTCTGCTTGTGCAAGAGCATGCACAGTCTCTTACAAAGACATAAGGACCACTAGAGAAATCTATGTATTGCAGCAATGCATGTATTTTTGAGCAAGCTCTTGCACAAGTTTTCAAAACAGCCCTGCATTCAGTTCTTTCAATCAAGCCCTTCCTGACGGCAATGAGTTGCCTCATATGGAGTCTTATGAGCAAAAATTCTACTTTGTGAGCTACTGGCATTAAAGTTGTGAGCAGGCGACTTGGCTACTGCATAAATTAGTTTGCTCTGGATTAATCCTTCCTGTGCTAAGAGTGAGCCAGAGGCTAAAAAACTGTGAGCTAGCTCACACTAACTCAGCTTAGAGGGAACACTGACAGTGCACTATTTCTTTGTACAGAAGTCCACTTCCACATGCAGACGGTTTTCAGAGGATCAGGCCAAAGGTGCGCATCCCTCACAAATTAATTCTAATAAGCCAATGATGCCCCAACACAGTATTATGATGGGTGTACAAGTTTGATGATATTGTAAATAATTGATCATACCAACTAAATTCCTGAATTTCTTTTTGGCTTCTGCTCTTTCTTCAGCATCAAAATACCATACAGTCATGGCATATCTGTAAAGGAAAGGAAATCGATTCACATCTTTGAAAGCTACCCAACTGAGAGCGGAACACTAGATTTTTCCCTCTTATACAAATATAATAACGAAACAGGGATTTTCTGCAACATTTGGAATACATTACTAAGCAACCAAATGAGTCCTCAGGTGACAGTCTAGGCATGCACAGCGTAGCTCTATTCACACCAAGCATATAAATAATAGGCAAACACAACTGGTTTTCTGACTCTGTCTCCCTCAGGTTTTAGATCTCTACAGATATCAATGTAGCACCAAACAGCTTACTTAAATTGCATTTATGAGATATTACCTAGCAATATCCTAAGGACCAACCTACAGCCACTTGGTACTTGTCCAAAATGAGCCTCTCAATTATCCAGGCATCACTTGTGTATTAGGTAAACATGCCGCTGGGAAGAACCACATGGGCAGCAATCTTTATATTTACCCTGATCCACTGCCCACAAATACTTTGCTGTATGACAGTGTTGCATTTAAAGCATCCACCATGTCAAAGCTTGTTTGTGTGTACCAGGACTGGGTTAGAAAGATATTCAGGCATCAGGAGTCTTTTTGGACAGAACTGAACAAGATTCAGTATCCTGAGACACAATGAAAACATTGTGAGCCATCAGGCTAACCTTCATTTCTATATTATCTAAGCCATCTCTCCTTATATATAATTGAATAGTGGGTGCCAAAGTTCTAATTCTAAAATGCACTCCCTTAGTGTATGGCTGATGGCACTGCTCCTCAGCATATATCGCCACCAATCAGAAGGCAAAGCCCGGGTCCCACCCACACCACAACTGCTGCGACAACCTGGTCTTTTGCATATGGAAGCTGATTGGACTTCATTCCACACCTCAAACTCCCCCCCCCCCCCGCAAGGCAGTTGGAATGTCAGTTGCATATGCAATCTGCTGTATTCTGGTGTGTTGCAGGTCCCAGATTCATGTTTTAAAAGCAGACTGACACTGTTTGCCCAAAGCCAGAGCACTCTCCCAGAGCCTCTTTCTAGATCCTGTTGTATTTATTTCCACAACGGGCCTTATTTCTAGTCTAACAATAAACTGGGTGGCACATTTGGTCATAAATGGATCAAAATTAGCCAATATAAGTGTTTCAATCCAATTGGAAGGAGATCCCAGTTGTACAGAAAAATATGACTTTGCAAATTAGTCAAATGAACCCCAACCAAACTGGTATGATTAGGACCGAGCATACTATAGGAAGACAAGATTGTTGAAGAAAGGGGGGGGGGATTAGCCATAATCTTGAAGAGGGTGGTTCAGGAGTTAGGTAGGGGATAGGAATTTTCCAAAGCATTTACCCTCCTCTCCACATGCACTTCCTCACAAACTGCAGTTTGTTCCATTTAAAAGCAAACTCAATGGATGACTGCTTACACAAAGCCTTCTTGATTTTCAGGTATGCAGAAAAACATAGGTTTGTGAATTAAAAAAAAAAAGATTCCCCGCCCAAAAAAACAGCATGTTCAAGTACCTTCAGAAAGTTGAGAGCAATTCAGTCTGATAAAGGCCCCCCCCCCGCCCCAGCAGGGGTGGCCAAACTGTAGCTCGGGAGCCACATGCGGCTCTTTCACACATATTGTGGGGCTCCCAGCAGGGCAGCTGGGGAAGTGAAGGGGAGGCATACTTTTTCTCCCTCCCTCCCTCTCATCTATTTGCTTTCTTTGTTTCTCTCTCTCTCTCTTTCCACCTCTTTCATTCTTTCTTTCCACCTCTCTCTTTTTCTCTGTCTCTTAGACAAATAAATATCATTAGCAAACAAATAAATATCATTGGACAAATAAACACCATTATCAGTATCTGTTTTTACCCCTTTTGTTTTTATTTTTGACAGTCTCATTTAATGTTAATAAAAAAAGCAAATTTGCATATTTTAAAATAAAAACGTGTGTGTAATATTTGTTCATGTTTTGCGAGTCTCAAACATCTGATATTTATTCTATGTGGCTCTTATGCTGAACACCTTTGGCCACCCCTGCTCTATAGGGAAACTGGCCTGTGCAAGCCCATGACAATATTTTTGGGCAAGAGATCTGGTTGGAGGGTCGGAAATTTCCTCATGTTTTCTTGCAGCTCTCCTTGGGGAGGAGCTGTGGCTAAGCAGTAAAGTGCCAGCTATGTATGCACGAAGTCCCAGGTTCAATCCCTGGCCCCTCCAGTTAAAAAGGGTTAAGTACTATATGATGTGAAAGGCCTTTATCTGAGATCTTGGAGAGCAACTGCCATTCAGAGAAGACCAGGCCAGTGGTTGGACTCAGCTGTCAGACCTATCATGCACAGCTTTTGTTGAAAATGTAATAAAGTTTTGGAAAAGTCAATTCTATTTCTAATAGGCCTAATTCGGGCCTTTTGGTGTAGTGGGAGAGTCAGTTTGGTGTAGTGGTTAAGAGCACGTACTCTAAAATGGGAGAACCACGTTCGATTCCCCCACTCATCCACATGCAGCTGCTGGTGTGACCCTGAGTCAGTCATAAGTTCTCTCAGAGCTGTTCTCTCAAGGATAGTCCTCTCAGAGCTCTCTCAGCCCCACCTACCTCACAGGGTGTCTGTTGTCAGGAGGGGAAAGGGAAGGGATTGTAAACCGCTCTGAGACTCCTTCAGGTAGTGAAGGGCGGGGTATAAATCCAATCTCTTCTTCTTTTATAAACATAAGGAACGACTGTATGTGGAGGCAGTCACCTGGTCCATTAAATTTCGTAATAGCTACTCTGACTGGTAGAAGCTCTCCACAGTCTCCAGGAATAAATCTTTCTCATTTCTGCCACCTGAAATCCTGTAACTGGAGATGCCAGGGACTGAACCTGCACCTAATGCTTTCAAATCATGAGGTCTACCACTGAGTATGGGCCTGTTCCTCTCGATCCATGAATACAAAACCAAATGTTCATTACCTTGTTGCATAGGAAGGCTGCACTTCATGTGGATTCCTTCGATCTGACCAGAAGAAAAGTAGTCTGTCAAAGATAGGTTCCACATCTGCTACATACGACTTCCCTTCTGGGAATATTCGGAGAATCCCACCATGAAGCTTTCGGGGGGAAACAAGAGAAATAAAAGAACTGTTCATTTTATACTTTTATAGGGTCATTCAGAAGCCTGCCTTAAAAATCGAAATTTCTTCTTTTTAAAAATTTATTAATAATGTCAGGATACAACCACGGTCATCATATATACCTATATATACATACATGTATACAAAGCCAGTGAATCAGTAAGCAGTTAAATGCATATGTGGATGATTACCATAAAGGTTATAAGCACACAAGAAAACACCCTGGATGGTGCACCACTTGTGCCAGCCCAGAAGCTGAGGAGCCTGGGGGTGGTCCTGGATGTCTCCATTCTATGGAGGCCCAGGTCACCATAGTTGCCAGGTCTGCCTTTTACCATCTTTGGCAGATCAGGCAGCTTGCTCCCTACCTCTTCCCCCCCCCCCCTTAGCTAGAGTGACTGATGCAATAGTCACTTCCAAGCTTGACTATGTAACTCGCTTTACATGGACTTCCCTTGCAGCTGATCTGGAAACTCCAGCTAGTACAAAATGCAGCGGTGTGCCTGCTGACTGGGTCGCCTATGTTGACACACATTCAGCCAGTGCTACACCAATTGCACTGGCTACCGATTGTGTACCAGATTCGCTTCAAGGTAATGGTACTGACCTAGGTTCCCTTTAAGCTGCCAATTTCCCCGACCAGTGCAGCAATTTTTTTCACAGCGCAGGGGCGGAAGTTTCCCTTCCCAATGGCCACGCAGCACGGCTCCATTTGCCCAGGCAGCACAGAAACACAGCAGTATGATTTGTGTTTCCTAATCTGGGCTGGCCCCGCCTCCCCTCAGCCGGGGTTTGCTTGCCCTATGAAAGAGGGTGCTACTGCCCTCCCCGCCAGTCCTCTGCCTCGTGCTCCTGGAGATACCCTGGCCCAGAAGGAGTATTGCTCTGTTGCCCACCTTCTGCCCTTCCTGAGGTGAGTCGCCTGGTTGTTTGTTTTGTCTGGGGGTGTGGGGGGGGAGGTCAGCTGGAATGGCCAGGCTGAGATCTGTGCAGGATCGCTGGCTGTGTGTTTGCTGGGAGGCTGTGCACGCCTCTTTTCAGCCCCGTGTGGTTTCTATTCCCTTTGGGATTGGGGGGGAGGGAGAGGGCTTTTGCTGGCATGAGGGGAGGTCAGCTGGAACGGCCAGGCTGAGATCCGTGCAAGATCGCAGGCTGTGTGTTTGCTGGGAGGCTGTGCACGCCTCTTTTCAGCCCTGCGCGGTTTCTCTTCCTTTTCGGAGTGGGGGGGAAAGAGGGCTTTTGCTGGCATGAGGGGAGGTCAGCTGGAACGGCCAGGCTGAGATCCATGCAGGAAAGCTCCTGGGACCAACATACCTGAGGGACCACAGTCTCTCCCCATATGTGCCCCGGAGAGCCTTGCGCTCTCTGCCAGTAAAGATCTACTGGTGGTCCCTGGCCGAAGAGATGTCTGCTTAGCCTCAACCAGGGCCAGGGCTTTGTCTGCCCTGGCCCCGGCCTGGTGGAACATGCTCCCATCAGAGATCAGGGCCCTGCAGGACCTACTGCTGTTCTGCAGGGTCTGTAAAATGGAGCTGTTCTGCCAGGTGTTTGGCTAAGGCAGCCAAGATCAAGAAAACCTCAGAGACCCAGCGGCACCAGTTTTTGCAGACTGTGCATGTAAACAAATAGTGTGAGTTGTTTTAAATCATGTTGTTTCAACTGTTTTAATTATTCTCTTAATGTTTCTGCTCAGTGTGATGAACCGAACGGCTCAAGATTTGCTTGTGATCTGCCCTGAGCCCACTTGCAGAGAGGGCAGAATATAAAGTGACAGAAATGAATAAACAAACAAACAAACAAACAAATGGGATAGAATGTTTAATTTAAAAAGCAAAAATACTAACAGTAAACTGCAACAGAGGGTACTCAGCATGAACAACTTCCCCTCAACCTGTTATGATTAACAGACTTAAGACTGGCCGCCAATGGAATAAACATGAAATTCAAACTATAGTTGTATTGATGGCATGACCTCCAGTACAATCCTAAGAACACTTTCTTGGGAGTAAGCCCCACTGAAGTAGAATTCTAAGCAGATTTGCTTAGGATTGCTCTCAAAGACTAGAAACAAATCTGGCTTCATAAAAGATATTTTATTATACTTTTGTAGCTCCACTTTACTTTCTTATTTAACATGTATATAAAACCCTAAAATTTTATGCTGTTTAACTTCTTTTGTGTATTGCAGAGATTGTGTTTTACTGACTGTGAGCCGCCCTGAGCCTGCACTGCGGGGAGGGCAGGGTATAAATGTGATTAATAAATAAATAAACAATTTATATTGTCCACAAAACCAATAAACTATGCACAGGGTTGGAGGGGAGAGAATGCACCTTTTACCAAGACTTTAGTACCTGATTTTTCTTTGTACAGAAACAAAGGAAATATTAATGAAGGTAAACTTCCATGTGAGTGACAAGTTGTTACGTTTTCACTGTCTAATGACAATGATTCCTCACTCATCTGCTGCCAGCACACTTTGATGCAGACTTACTCCAGTCTAACCCCAAAGATTTCAATAGACTGACTGGAGTAACTCTGCTTAAGACTGAACTCATAAATAACTTAGATACATCTTTTCTCCTGGGAAACCCTATGCTGAGGCCAGAAATCTAATAAAGCAGAAGAAGAGTTGGTTTTTACACCCCACTTTTCTCTACCTTGAAGAATCTCAAAGTGGCTTATAAACACATTCCTCTCCCCCACAACAGTCACTTTGTGAGGTAGGTGGGGCTGAGAGAGTTCTGAGAGAACTGTGACTGCTCCAAGGTCACTCAGCAGGCTTCAGGCAGAGTGGGAAATCAAATTCTGTTATCCAGATTAGAATCTGCCGTTTCTAACCACTACACCACACTGGCTCTGGAAGAGAACTAGTCTGTAAAGCCAATTTTGGTCCCACAGTCTCCCAAGCCAGCCATGAAGACATATGGGGGACTGAGGCTGGCTAAGGCCTTGAGATACAGGCTGACATAAAACAAATGTGTGTATCTTGCGTACTTGTAAGTGCTACGTAAGATACACATGTCTTTTATTGCTTTACATCATTCTGTAAAATGCCATGTACCAACAGCATTATTACTACTATTAATTACAATAACCACTGATGTAGGCTATAGATATTTTGTATTTGGATACTACCCAGTACAAAAACTCTGGCAACAAGCCACAGTTAGATGATTCTTAAATTGTAAAACAACAATACACAGGAGTAATATCGCCAAAGGAATAAAGCTGAGGGTGAACGTACTGAAAGAATTCTCATACCTACAGATTCTTTCTGATTTATAAAATGGTCAGAGACAAAGCTGCATCTTTGGACTTCATAAAGGTCATTTCACACATTATATAGAGATAAAGCCTGGTTTACATATTCAGTAGTGCACTGTAGCCACTGTAGCCAATCCTGACTCCCTGAGGACTGTATCTAGAAAATGCATCCGTTTGTAACATTCACACTTTAAGATTGTTTAAGGAGTCATATGAAAATGGAGACACACTGATAAAAATAAAATGTGTGAAATGACATGACTGATATGGAAGTTTGCAAGCTACACAATGAACTGTCCTGCAGAAACTACTCTGAAAAACCAAAGAGAAGACATTCTCCCACTCTCTGTTCCAAGATTTTAGACCTTTACTGCTTTTCTCGTGTTTCAAGCAGATGCTAAGCCCTCCTTAGCATCCATAAGAGCTGGACATTACTATAAAAATGTTAATAAGCATTTTTTTCCAGATTCAGGGCTTTGAAAAGCTATGCTAAGACCCCCCCCCCCCTTACTGTGTCTTCATAAAAAAGCAATGCATTTGATAAAATACCTGTTTGGGGGCTTGGAGGCAGGTTGTAATACAGCTGACTGAAAAAGTTGGCATTGTGTCCTTAGGGTTACTAACTATCAAACGCCAACTTCTTTTTCAGTCAGGTGTATTACAACCTGCCTCCAAGCCCCCAAACAGGTATTTTATCAAATGCATTGCTTTTTCATGAGGATACAGTATGCAGGGGGAAGAGGAACTTAGATCTCAATGAATCAAGGTTTCAATTTTTTAATACATAATACAAGACCCAAAAAGAACCTCACAGAAGCACAAATGTTTTAAGTTTTACTTTAAGAGTTGCTGTGCAGGGGATAGTTCAAAGGACATGGGACCATAACCTGCCTTCTCATCCATTATTTAATCTGTTTCAGCAGTTGGATTCCATATTTTTGTGGATGTAATTTTTTTTCATCCAAGCTAACCTCCAGATTGAGAGGCATTAAAGTCTGAATACTACTGCCAGGAGTCAATATCAGGGAAAGGCCTCAGTGTCTATGCTCTGTTGTGGGCCCCCAGAGTTAACTGGTCGGCCACTATGTGAGACAAGGTGCTAGACTAGATGGACCACCAGTCTTATCCAGCAGGGCTCTTCTTGTGTTCTTCATTATCAATTTCTGTAAACAATGACAGGTTCCTATTCTGCAGAATTTACAATCTGAAATTTAAGACAAGGAAAACATCAAATGGAAGAGAAGGGAAGGCAAGTAAAAGTAAGAAAGGACTGTGCCTTCTATTTCACAACTCGTTTCAGTAGAGGATGAAAACTAAAGGATTGTGCCAAAAGCTTCACAAAAAGTGTGTGTATGTGGGTGTGTGAACCAAGAGAGAAAACGTCATGGAGGTGTTCTGGGAGGTAGTTCCAGGCATAAGGAGCAACATGGGAACAAAGGCAGAGTCAGCTGAGGGACCAGATGAATGAGAGTGTCTGAAATGGAGAAGAGGAGGCAGGATTCTATGGTATCAGAATGGAGAACAAACAGTTAAATGAGACAGCCAGCATGATATAGGTAAGGGGCTGGGGTGTTCAGCTAGAACTGGGGAAATCTCCACTAAACCTTAAAACCTTAGCCTGACTGACAGGAGAAGAGAATCACACATGCTGCTTGGAATTCAGTAGAGAAAAGATAAACAAGTTAACAGATACATAAATTGGTAAATAAGCTGTTTTGAGCCCAACCTTTTTTCATCTGCATTTAAACGGGTCAGCTTACCTTTGAATCCCAATTCTTATTCAGGTAGTAAATGCATGTGATGCAGCGTCCATCTCCATTGGGGTTGTCTACATGACGCACATACCCAGTTCCATTCCCAGGGTAGCAAGCAACCATAGCCTATTAGAGAAAATATAAAGAGAAGGAGAAGATTATTTTTAATAACTTAACACAGCTTTCTATTTATTCTTTTGGGGTGATTGAATAAGTAACTCCAAGCTTTCCAAACTATGCATGAATGAGTTTATTTACCAAAAATATATTTACAAAGACAGTTCCTACTCTAGTGAAATAGAATGCAATGGTTCTAAAGAAGACTGATCCTAGTGAAGAGTGAATTAATGTTTCATTAACAAGTTAGTGATTTGAAGCGCATGAAACTCAGGAATATATAAAATAGCAGCAAAGAACATATATTGTTTTTGTTGGTTTTTTAAAGCAGGATTAATGTAGGAGCAATTGACACTATCTTAGGTGAAATTCTCCTGCCAAAATCCCACAGAAATTAATGAGAACTAAGCAAGTGCTATCTAAGTGCCTGTGGTTGAATTAAGTAACCTTATCCATTCCAGTCTTATTCAAATTAAATGTTACAAGAAAACACATCTGTATTTATCACATTTTCCCTTCACCCTTCCTCCACTGAGCTTAAGGCTGTGTACATGGTTGTCCTCTCTCTGCCCCACAACCACCTTGTGAAATAGGTTAGGCTGGCAGAAAGTGACTGGCCCAACGTCACCCAATGGGATTCATGGCTGAGTGGGATCTTCTACATCTTAGTCCAGGCGTCCCTAACCCATTTCAGCTTTCAGGAACATTACAAATTTAGGAGGGGTAGTGGGAGCCATCCTAAAGTAGGCGCAACAGAAGACACAGTCAAACCCAAAATGAATGCCATAGAAGGAAGAGCCAAATGCAGTACCTCCCTCCTTGTTTTGCAAAGGAATTGCAGGGCAACCCATGCAGAACTCATGAAGGTGACTTATTCAGAGTCCGGCCATTGATCTGACAAGGTAATAACTGTTCTTTGGTTGGAAGCATGGTCCAGCCACTGGGAAGTCAGCAAGCCTGAGGGAAGATGATGTGGGCTTCTACTCCTGAACACTTATCTCCCCTCACGGAACAGCCCAGCTCCCTGGAATCTTTAGACTAGAACAAAGCTCTCCCTCTGCTTTGTAAAAGAATCTTATGGCAACAATCGCTCAGGTCTGATGGGGAAATGGAATCACACACTTCCTAAGGGAAGCCTGGGACCTTATCAGTCCTTCTGATCCTCCAGTGGCTGCGGCTGCTATTGCAGCTGTGGAAAACTCTTTCATTTGAATGAAGGCAGCCAATAATGAGCCCTACCTTACAGTGGCCCTGCCTACTTTCTGAAAAGCTCAGTGAACATAATGGGAAGTAGTGGTAGATACCACCCATGGGAGCCACCTTGGGGAACCCTGTCCCGGACCGATGCTCAAACCACTACAACTCACTGATTCTCAGATGTCATACATCCCTAAGACAGCCACCCCAACAAGACTACTTGGAATCCGTTGTGCAAGAGAGGGAAAATGGTCAGTCTGGAGCAGAGAAGTGAAGGGTAGAGAGACAATCAAGGCCCCCTTCGCTAATTCACATTGCCTCTCTCCCAAAGCTGCCATTTCTGGAAGAAAAAAATGGGTTTGTCACAAGAGTTTCCTGTAATGTTCAGTCTGGGACTACTCCAATGGCTTTTAACTGAAAGACACTGTTTACAGGAAATTCTCCTGTACAAGCTGCCTTGAAATTCATGGCATCTGGAACACTTAACATGCGTCTCAATGAGGCTTGTGCAGGAGAACTTCCTATAGTGCTCTGGATGTCTGGTACCAAACTGTTTCACTGAAAGTTTGCCCAAGTGTGAACAAAGATAATATTCGTACTTAAAATAGGCTGTAATTCTGATGCTCAAACATTCTGCCTGTTTTCTTCATTTGTCCATGAGAAGTCTGCTCTTACTTGAAGGAGCATCTCTCATGCTGTAGTAACACTTTTCACTACGATGTCATTTATTTTAGGTACCAAATGCCTGAGCAATTCTCCTCTCCCATCCTCTTTTGAAAAAGTGCTCAAGCAATCCTGGTTTCCCCTTCAAGCTGCCTTGTATTTTGTGCCCAAAAGTGCCAGCAATTGCTGAGTTCTTAATGCCTTCAAGGAAGGGAAACTTCACTGACTTTGGGCGGAGATCTCTGTAAAGATATACACGTTCTGCTTCCATAAGGTGGTACGTGTCTGCTGACAGGACTGATCTTTAGAGGTAACCAAGCACATTTTAGAAGCAATACTTTTGTTCAAACAGATTACACACCACCAATTCTCTTTTTGGGTAATCCAACAAAAAACCAAATATAAAACATCCTCAAAACCACAAGGCACAACTGAAGATGAATCAGAAGAACACACATTTAGAACTGGGGGGGGGGAGGAGAGATCTTCCTTACAGCACGTACTCATTTAACCTGTTTTTACAACTAGGGAGATAGGAGAAGAGGCCTAAGGCCACAATTGCTAGTCACTGTGATAGTGATTGTAATCTAATACCCAAGGGTATGTACACAGGGAGTGACCATCACTGCCTCAGTTTCCCTGGGAGGCCCTCATCTGAGACAGGCAAGTGAGAAAGGAGCCTTGTGCCACAACCAGGTGAGGAGGCTGTGAAGAAGGCTGCAGTGTATGTACAACTAACTATTTCCAGGCCTCTTTGCATAATACAATATAGACCAAAAGACTGGCAGTGCAATCCTGAGTAAAGTTATACCCTTCTAAGCCCATGACTTCAATGGACTTAGAAGGGTGAAACTATTTAGGATTGCATTCTGACTAGATGAATGGGTAAAACAAAGAGAGCCAAGCTGCCTAAACTATTTATTTAAATCTGCATGATTGGGATAATTTAATGATTTATACAAATACTACAGGATAACTTCCACCAAGACTGGACAACATGCAGCTCATTTATACAAAGGAAATGTTCTTGTAAGGTTACCAAGTTCATTCAGTTGCAGTTCATACAGCCCTGCCTAGTGCCTAGAGAAATACAATTGGAGTCACATGTTAAACCTTTCAGAATTGTAAAATATCTCTTCCTTCCCACCTCCAAATAAAAATGCAGCCGTAGTTTAGTTAGGCAAGTTTCTTTCTTCAGTTAGACTCAAATCAGATTGCAAAACCGAAATTGTAGATTTGATGCCAGTGACAGATAGTTAATATGACACTTTATTTTTGTTCTGTATACTTATACATAAAATAGAAGCCCAAACATCTGAAAATTCCGAAACTTGAAGAACAAGGAAGATGCTTTTTTATTTGAAAAAGGGTGTTCTTGGATATAAATACTTGCGAGAAAGGCCATGTAGAACACCTGCCACCAAAGTCCCACCAAGGTCCCGATCCGTGATCCTATATGCTCCTGAACTAGAACGAACCTTGACCATTCTTTTTATCTTTTGGACAAGGAGGCAGAGTTGGACTGAGTCATTCACAATGCCAGCCTAAGCAGAGTTATAGCCTTCTAAGCCCATTGACAACAAAGGGTGTACCTCTGTTATAGAAAGGCACTGTTGCACATTCAGAGGAAGTGGAACAAGAGTTGGATTTATACCCTGCCCTTTCACTCGGAGTCTCAGAGCAGCTTACAATCACCTTCTTTTCCCCTCCCCACAACAGACACCCTGTGAGGTAGGTGGGGCTGAGACAGCTCTGAGAGAACTGCTCTTGAGAGAACAGTTCTGAGAGAACTGCGGCTGGCCCAAGGTCACCCAGCTGGGCTTCATGTGGAGGAGTGGGGAATCAAACCTGGCTCTTCAGATTACAGTCCGTGCTCCTAACCACTACACCAAACTGACCATCAGAATGGGAGATTTAAATGAGCAAGAAAAAAAACAGGTTCTGGATGTAAACTTTAACCACAGAGATTACCCAACATGTGGAAACCTCTTTCTGTTTGTGGATTGCTCTTGCTGAAATACAGTGAAATAGTTCCAGGCAGAATTTGAGCTGTTTGGGGCAAAACAAAACAAAAAACGAAGGGTGCAATCCAGCCAAAACTGCACACTTTAAATCCTATTGATTTCTGATCTGTATAGTCATTATGCCTGTGTTCAGAATTCTCACTAAGTTATTGTTTGAATAGAACCTAGATGTCTTCTCAAAATCCCCTAAGATGCTATTCCAACTGATTTTGGTGGTTTGTTAAGGTTTGGATTTTAGCACTTAGGGATTTTTTAAAAACTTTTTGGATTGAAATTTGAACAGGATGCTTTAAATTTGTTTTCTAATTCTGCTGTTATTTGTCCTGACCCTATGGAAAAGGTGATTTATATATTTCAATACGTGCATATTTTTCATACAAGATATATTGCTTCTCAAAGGATCAATCACCTTTTTGTGAAAAAAACACAGAGAAAGAATAAATGGCAGCAAAATGTAGGCAGAAAAGGAGCATAGAAACATTATATACTTCCTCGGTCACTAGCACTGCTCGGATGAAAGTTGGAACAATGAAGGGAAATCACTGCAGCCCTCCTAGAGCCTGTTGAAATAATATAAAGTTTTATCAGAGCTTCAGCTGGTATGATTCCAGCACACATCAAACTTGCCTCTGCAGGGCTTCTAGCTGTTGGGGCTACATTTGGATTTACTCAAATGCAAACATGAAAACAAAAGAAATATTTGAGTGATCCAGATTTAATGTTGGTAAACTGCTGGCCATATCTGCCACTTTGGATGACTGCAAACTGAAGGCAACAATAGTATTTCCACTCCAAACATGCACATACTGTTCAGTAGTAGTGACAAATCAGTTTGTCAATACTTGAACGAGTAGTGGATCCTGGGCCTTGAATACTCTCTCTTCTCTCTATACATGGCTCAATAGTTTCACTTATGCAAACAAACAAACAAATACCTTTATTGGCATAAAATATTAAACAGTTGCCATAGGGTAAAAGTTTCACTTATGCAGCAAACCATAGGTTGCCTTACATCTGAACCACAAACTATAGTTTGTTTGCCTCCCTCCAAACCAAGACTGAACTGTGGTTTAGAGTCAGAGTTTGGAGGAACAAGCCACAATCTGTGGTTTGCCTATCACAACA